GGATAAATGTCAAGATCCGATACGACTCAAGGAGTTAGACTTGGATGACTAATATGGGGTGGTGGTTATGAGCAACAGTTCAAGACCTTGGGGATAAATGACAAGGTCGAACACCAAGCTTCGATAGAGAGATGTCGGTACCTTGGGGATAAATGTCAAGGGTCGATACGCCTCGAAGAGCTAGACTTGGAGCACTAACTCAGGGTTTAGTACAAGTGGTATATTGAGGGGGTTAGAGACTAGTGGGTCGTGCAAATCAAAGTCACGAGAGTCCTGAAGTTTGGTTGTCGTGTTGAAATGTCAATTTACTGTTAATAGATTTTTGATATTTGTTTCTTTAATTATTGAGTATAATGTCGTCGTGATTGTGAGCATGTTGTTTGGTGATTGTTTGGTGAGGGCTACTTACGGAGTATTTTATATACTCACCCCCCCATCTACGTTGATTATTTCAGGTGTAAACAAGACCATCGGCCGTGGTGATGACGTGGAGGAGATTTAACCGAGGAGGGACCACTAGCTGCATTTTGTCTAGGATAGCTGGGTTGTGGTTTCATTGCTAGTAGCGTTAGAGACTTATTACTAGTGGTGTACTAGGTTTTGGTTAACTCATGCAACGTTCTCCCTTATTTCATACTTTTTGGGCGAGTTGTTATTTGTGCTGGTTATTTTTAGTATTTGAACCTATGGTGTATTTTGGATAGCAGAAACGAATAACTGTGGTTTTCTTTATTTGGATTATTAGCCACTTAGGCAAATATGCGTTTCTAGGATTCGGTTGTGACAGACACTCCACGGGTTTTCCGCTTTATGTTTCTTTAATGGAAAAAAGGTGAATAGTAATTATGGCAACAGTACCCCATTCTTCGTAGTGAAATTGGGGGGCGTTACATCTTGTCTCTGACAAGAGATCATGAGTTCGAATTCTACTCTCACTTGTTGTACTAAAAAAAACTTGCGTAAGCTTTTTGAATTTACACATTAGTTGCATACGTCCAACACTATTTAAGGGTGCCATGTATCAAGATGGGAGTTAAAGTGGTAGGCAATCACGTACATGTAGTACGCAATTTAATAGAGATCTTGTATATTGTATGTGATTCACTAAGGATCGTGTACAACTTTTACAATTTACCGTCATGTGCATCACGAAATATTTGGGTTTATTAAAATAATAATTAGCTAATAATAATGAATATATTCTTTGCCCCATCATAGTACCCCAAACTACTTATTTCTCATTTCTCTCCTCTGAACTTTACCCTTTTAAGGTAAGAAATACTAGGGTAACAGCACTGCTACAAGCTATAAAGAGAAGTCGTGAGTGCATCATGTTGTCGAGGGGCGTCTTGTAGTTCTTTCGAAAGTGGAGATTTTGTCTTATTTTCAGTTTCGTTTTATGTTTTTCTATATTTCATTTTATGCCATTGTGATTCAGACAGTTATGGAGCGTAACTAAACCTTGGGCGATGAAACTTTTCCATTATATTGTGATAGCGTTGCAGTATTTCTTTAATATATTTACTTGATGTTTTCTTAATTTTGTACTTCATCCTCAGTGTTTATTCATCATGGACAAGTGAATAGACCACAATCGAGCCCGAGGAAGTTGATTAAGAGGTTACTTATATCATGTTTTAAAAATCTTATGGCTAGTACTAAAGAAGGGAAGGTAACTAAAATAAGACATTGAGATATAACACTGTTTAGGCACCACCTCGAGGACCCTTGAAAGAGGCAAACTGCGCTGGCATGCTACATCACTTGTAACAATATATATTAAATTGAGGATTTATCTACTTGAAGCCTATTTTTCTCCCTGTGTGTTAACATCTTTTATGTTTAAGTTTATGTTAGTTAACCTTTGGACCATTTATGTAATGTCCTGGGTTACTTAGGTCAGTTTAATCTCGAGTCTCGAGCTTCTATCCCGAGTTAATTTATTTCATTTCATTTGTTTAATTTTATTTTATTATAGGTTGCCGTAGTTTTGTTGTGAGTTTTATTTAAGTACTGAGGTGTATTTTGGGCTGTTAGTTTTAAAGATCGGTACATTAATAGACCCTTTAGGATGATAATTACACAAAGAGATTCATTCTACAACATTTACATTTCTGTCTTAAAATACATCCGTTTAAGATGGAATCCATATGCATTTTAGCAATTAAAAATGGAAAAATGGTTGATTTGGGTGGTTTACAATTTAAATCCCTAAATTTATTCATCTTTTCACTTTCCTAAAAAAAACTCCCCAAATTTTTAATTATCTCTTCCTCTTCTTCATTCATCTTTTCTCCTCTCGCTTTTCACTATTGTTTCGGCATGCTGTCCCCTTGTCTTCTTAATGTTCTTCGTTTTCTGTCGTTACCATCTCCGGCAGCCTGTTTCTGATTCACTCGCTTTTCACCATTGTTTTCGGTAGCCTGCCTTTTGCCGTTTACGTTTTAAAACTTCTAGGTTTGTTTTTATTTCCGATTTTGGGTATTTAAAAATGATTCGATGGTAATGGCGTATATATTTGATTATGTAGATTATTTGCTTTGTTTATTAATTGTAGAGGGATATAGCCGTATAAACTTTATAGTTCATATATAAATTATAGTTTATAGCCAAATATAGTTTATATCTCCGGTTTATGTTATAATAGCTATATTTTTGTCATATATATATATATATATATATATATATATATATATATATATATATATATATGACAAAAACATTTAGTAAAATTGGTAAAATAGCAAT